TGGTGTTAGTTGCGGTGGTGGTAGTGGTGGTGGTGGTGGTAGTGGTGGTGGTAGTGGTGGTGGTGGTAGTGGTGGTGGTAATAGCGATGATGATGATGATAATAACGACGACTATGATGATGATTGATGATGATGATGATGATGATGATGATGATGATGATGATAATGATGATTATGATGTAGATAATGAAGATGATGAAAAATTGTGGATACGACGGGTGAAGAAAAACGGGAAGATAAACTAAGACGAGAAGAACGAGGAGAAAAATGTAATCATACTGAAGGAATGAAGTAATTGATAGCTGGAAAGAAGAGGGGGATGGGTGGGGGGGGGGGGGGGGGGCTTCTTCTTTTCCTTCTTACTACCAGTGATAAGAAGCTCATAGGCCTCGTTGTTCGTCGTTGTTCGTTGCTGTTCGTCGTTGTTCGTCCTTGTTCGTCATTGTTCGTCATTGTTCGTCGTTGTTCGTCATTGTTCGTCGTTGTTCGTCATTGTTCGTCGTTGTTGATTGTTGTATGTGGCTGTTCGTCGTTGTTCGTCGTTGTTCGTCGTTGTTCGTCAATGTTCGTCGTTGTTCATCGTTGTATGTGGCTGTTGGTCGTTGTTCATCGTTGTTCGTCGTTGTTCGTCGTTGTTCGTCGTTGTTCATCGTTGTATGTGACTGTTCGTCGTTGTTTATCGTTGTTCGTCGTTGTTCGTCGTTGTTCATCGTTGTTCGTCGATGTTCATCGTTGCTCGTCGTTGTTCATCGTTTTGTTCGTCATTGTTCGTCGTTGTTCGTCGTTTTTCGTCGTTGTTCGTCGTTGTATGTGGCTGTTCATCATTGTTCGTCGTTGTTCGTCGTTGTTTGTTGATGTTCGTCGTTGTTCATCGTTGTTCGTCGTTGTTTGTTGTTGTTCGTCGTTGTTCATCGTTGTATGTGGCTGTTCATCGTTGTTCGTCGTTGTTCGTCGTTGTTCATCGTTGTATGTGGCTGTTCATCGTTGTTCGTCGTTGTTCATCGTTGTTCGTCGTTGTTTGTCGTTTTTCATCGTTGTTTGTCGTTGTTCATCGTTGTTCGTCGGTGTTCATCGTTCTTCGTCGTTGTTCATTGTCGTTCATCGCTGTTCGTTGTTGCTTGTGTTTTTCATCGTAGTTCGTCGTTGTTCGACTCCTGTCTTTCACCGATCCCCACAGCCTGGTTTCTATTGGAATTCCAGTCAGGTAAACCCAGGATCTCTCCACTGCATGCAGACAGCCTGCCTCTAGCACAGCTCAGTATTTTGTAGTCTGCCTGTCCGCGTGTGCAAGGCTCTGAAACCCCATGCTTGAGTTTCCTGTATATATCGTTGCAGAGTCTGTTGTGTCCAGTCTGTTGTGTCCAGTCTGTTGTGATTACAGTCTGTTGTGTCCAGTTTGTTGTGTCCAATCAGTGTCCAGAAGTGGATGAAGAGCCAGGAATTTTCGTCGAAATGATACATGTGGTGAAAGAGACAAGAGAAAAAGAAGAAGAAAGAAAGAAAGAAAGAAAGAAAGAAAGAAAGAAAGAAAGAAAGAAAGAAAGAAAGAAAGAAAGAAAGAAAGAAAGAAAGAAAGAAAGAAAGAAAGAAAGAAAGAAAGAAAGAAAAGAAGAAAGAAGAAAGAAAGAAAGAAAGAAAGAAAGAAAGAAAGAAAGAAAGAAAGAAAGAAAGAAAGAAAGAAAGAAAGAAAGAAAGAAGAAAGAAAGAAAGAAAGAAAGAAAGAAGAAAGAAAGAAAAGAAAGAAAGAAGTTTATGCGTATCGATCCTAACCAATAATAAAAAAACTGACCAAGAATAGAAATGGAAGAGACGCAGTCATGAAGACTTCAAAAGACGACAAGTTATGACAAAATCCCAAGACGGGGTGGCACCAATCGCTCCCCTCGAGAGCTTGGCAAGACTTGATGTAATCAGACTCGGGACTAGTCAGCCGTCAGATAAAAAGAAATCAATAGCAAAATGGAAACAGCGCAAAAATGATATTGTGTCGAAAGATGAACGTAGTTTGAAGAGGAGATTTATGGATTGTAGAGGAGATGAATGGATTGTAGAGGAGATGTATGGATTGTAGAGGTATGGATTGTAGAGTAGATGTATGGATTGTAGTAGAGATGTATGTATTTTAGAGAAGATGTATGGATTGTAGAGGAGATGTATGGATTGTAGAGGAGATGTATGGATTGTAGAGGAGTTGTATGGATTGTAGAGGAGATATGTGTATTGTAAAGGAGATGTATGGATTGTGGAGGAGATATATGGATTGTAAAGGGGATGAGATGTATGGATTGTAGAGGAGATTTATGGATTGTAGAGGAGATGTATGGATTGTAGAGGAGTTGTATGGAATTTAAAGGAGAGGAGATGTATGGATTGTAGAGGTATGGATTGTAAAGGAGATGTATGGATTGTAAAGAAGATGAGATATATGGTTTGTAGAGGAGATGTATGGATTGTAGAGGAGATGTATGGATTGTAGAGGGGTTTTATGGATTGTAAAGGAGAGAAGATGTATGGATTGTAGAGGGGATGTATGGATTGTATAGGAGATGTATGGATTGTAAAGAAGATGAGATATATGGTTTGTAGAGGAGATTTATGGATTGTAGAGGAGATGTGTGGATTGTAAGGAGATGTATGGATTGTAAAGGGGATGCATAGATTGTTGAGGAGGTATGGATTGTAGAGGAGATGCATAGATTGTAGAGGAGATGTATGGATTGTAGAGGAGATGCATAGATTGTAGAGGAGATGTATGGATTGTAGAGGAGATGTATGAATTGTAGAGGAGATGTATGGATTGTAGAGGAGATGTGTGGATTGTAGAGGAGATGTATGGATTGTAGAGGAGATGTATGGATTGTAGAGGAGATGTATGGATTGTAGAGGAGATGTATGGATTGTGGAGAAGAGGCATAGATTGTAGATGAGATTATGGATTGTAGAGGAGATGTATGGAGACATTTTTATATGTGACTGTTGATGCTATCTAGACTGTAGTAAAGCAAGTATGAATGAAGGACTGAACACTTCCCCCACGTGGGTTTCATGCTCCATTTTGGAGAACAAAGAATAGACCCACTACTTTCAACAAGCATGTCGTAAGAGGCGAATTATTATTAATGTTTTCTGTGAAATCAGTGAGGCAAGGAAGCAACAGTGTGCATACTAAACCAAATGTGTAAAACGGGTGTGCACCCAAAACTGGATCAGGACCAAAGTTTAGCAATGGGCGAACAACCAGAACTTTGCGCAGGAGTTAACGGTCGGTGAAAAAGAAAGGAGAAGACCAGACACATTTTGTGTGTTCGTTCTTTAAAAAAAAAGAAGGTTGGGATGTTGTGTTGTAGTTTACAGCTAGGCGGCGATTTATGCGACTTCCGACCCTACACATCCAATTTCGGCCCACTTCTTGAATGACAGGCTGGCTAGGGTCAGTGGGGTCTAGCCATTTTTCTTTCTCCAGAAAACAGGGTCCCGTATGGCCCACGGGAATAATTGAACACAGCAAATTAACTAGAAAGTTTACATTATCATCACCATCATCATCATAACTCTCATCATGAACATCATTAACATCATCATCATCATCATTATCATACTAATCGCCATCATTATCATTATCGCCATCATCATCATTATCATTATCGCCATCATCATCATTAACATCATCATCATCATCGCCATCATCATTATCACTATCTTTGTTATTAACATCATCACCATTATCTGGTAATCTGGTAATCTGGTAATCCTAGTTTCAGCTTCATAGCAAACGGGTCACCCCACATATGCTCCGCTCCTGTGCCAACGAAAAACAAACGCAGCTCACAGTGTCACGCCATGCACTCAACTCAGAAGCTGGGCGACGAAACTACATCCTTCCAGTCTACAAATGGAGCAAAAATGCAACGGCCACCGTCTGGAAAAATATTTGCCACGGCTTAAAAACAAAAAACAAAAACAAAAACAAAAAAAAACAAAAAACAAAAAGGTGGCCGTACCTAGCGTCCATTTTGACCGGAAGAATTATATGAGGGTTAATAAACGGTCACCCCAGCAGTACCCTCATTATTAGCTGGGGAAGGGACTTAGGACATTACATCCACCAGCAGGCGTCGCCCCTACAACGACCTGCCTGCCATCGTTAACGACTGTTCACCCAACAGCCATGCAGTTCTTTGGCACGAAGGAGACACCTTGAACTTGGGTTTCGTACTGCCGACTCCCTACTAAGATGTTATTTTATGTTCTGTTATCACAATTAATGTCACTGCACATTGGGCATACCCATGCGTGCTCAGTTCTCCGAAGCAGCAGCCACTCTAAAGTACTTCTACTAATTGTCCCCATGAGGAGCTGGTTATATTGTCTCCTTTCTCGGCCTCGAAGACGGCAAAGACGTGCATCACCATGCTTAACTCCCATGTCACGCAATCGTGTTAGTGTCAGGGATTCCTCATTCTCCACTAGCCCGGTTCGTACAGCATTATCATCACCATCATCTTCATCATCATCATTATCATCATTATCATCATCGTCATTGCTGTGCGGATGAACTAAACGCAAAACAAAGTACGACTTGAAAAAGCTCAACCCAATAAATGGAAAATAAGCAGGCAAATACAACCACATATTTCAAAAAGTCTTTATCAACAGACAAATAAATAAAGGAAAAGTCGGTACGGATGACATAGGCAATCATGAATAGGATCCCACATTTTTCGGTTAACCTTGACACTCTTTGTTTTGCCACCCCCCCCCTCGTTAATAATTCCCCCCCCCAAGTTTTCCAGTTTTTCTTCCTCTTTTCCCCCTTAAACCTCATTTTAGTGGGCACTAAAAGATTCTTTGTCGCATAAATGACAAGTGTGCACTAAAAGAAATTTTTGCAGCAAGTGTTTTAACAACAAAGAAACAAACAGAAAGATAGGCTGCCTGGTTTTGCACCGGAAGGTGGCGATTTGTTTCATGACATGCAGAGTGGGCCCTTTTTCCGTTTC